TTTTCTTTATATAGAAATTATATCGCCTCACAAACAATTCCATATCCTCATTCGTTTCATCATCATCGTCATCATTCGATTCACTATCACTTAGCTCTTTTGCGGAGGACTTTGAACTAGAAGCCTTTAGAGCTATTAGCTTATTTTTTGCATCTTTGGTTCTTTCTTTTTTTCCTTCTTCTTAAATTGATCAAGATTAATGAGCACTTGCTCATGTTCTTGGAGCTTTCCAAATAAAGTTGTGATGTCCAAAGTCACGAGGTTATTGGCTTCCTTAATGGTTGTGACCTTTGGTTGCCAATCCCTATTAAGACACCTCAAAATTTTAATAGTAGCAATGTCATTGGAAATTGGTCTACCAAGTGAATTTAGTCGATTGATTAAATGAGTAAATCTTTTTTGCATGTCGAAAATCGTTTCCTCACGCCTCATGTGAAAAAGATCAAACTCTTGTGTCAAAGTGTTGATTCGAGCTAGTTTGACATCATTAGTACTCTTATGGTCAACTTGCAATGCATCCCACATAGCTTTATCAGTCGTACAATGTGAAACTCTATAATACTCATCAAATCCCAAAGAGGAGATTAGAATATTTTTAACTTTGCAATCATAGTTATACTTTTTCTCATCTTCTTCATTCCATTGTGCTTCTAGCTTAGACACAAAAACATTATTCCCATCGGTCATGGTAATTTCCACGGGACCATTTTGTATAACATTCCATACTTTTCTATCAATAGAATCGATATGCACGTGCATACAATCTTTCAAATAACTATAGTTCTCACCATTAAAAAATGGTGCTCTATTGTAAGCCTTTTTTGGTTCATTGGCCATTTTCTGAAAAGTTATATGCAAAGCACTAGATGAACAGATGCTCGTGATACCACTTGTTAGACGACGCCAATGATCTAGAAGGGGGTCGAAAAGATCACTAATTTCTAAACAGAGTCGACGCTTAAAAAGTTGGTTAAAAAATTTATGCGGTAGCACTCGAGGAACTAGGTAGTCTAAACTAACCGTTGCTGAAAAGATCAGGTATGCGATAAGCTAAAATGGAATATCGTACCCAATGAGAAATCAAATCAATATTTTGAAAGCTAATCAATACAATTGGAATCACTTAAGTTTATACACTTTCCAATGACTTGTAATAATTAAACTCAGTTTGACAAAAACGCAAATAGTTTGTGCGCGATCAATTCGTCAAACACTTGGTGTGCAAGGTACCCCAAGTGATATTCTCTAAGTAGTTGTAGTGCATAAAATTTCTAATTACAATGCAAAATTATTGTTATGAGTTTTTAAAATAATTTCAGCACTACATTACACCAGAATTTTAATCGAACAATTGATTGTACACAAACGCTGACAATTCAAAAGTATAGAAATAGAGAGAAAGAGGACAACACCAGATTTGTTTAGGCAGTTCTCCTTTCGTCCTCGCTTAGGGTACGTTTACCCCCAATTCCAAAAATAGAATTGAGATATGTATAAAATTTGCGTGCAAAATTCACTACATAAGAAACCCTAGTATTACAACAATCTAACCCAATTGTAGAGGTTGAAACTAACCGCTTCTCTTCCCTTGATTCAAGTCGAATCAAGTGCCTTAAACGCGTTGATTAAACCTCCAGTTCCAGCTACTTGTCTGAATGACTCCGCGGTCTTCAAATCTTTAGCTCGACTGATTTCAATCACGCACAGTTCAAACCCAAATCTTTCTTCCACAATCCTCTGGTTACCGCTACTAGATTGAACGGATCACCCTTATTTAATCACCTTCGCTCGACTGAATCTGTGAAGAAATGATATGTGCAAAACCCCCAAAATCCTCGAGATTCTTGGAGGACAAAACCATAACGATTTTATTTGAAGAAAAACACACCTAATCTCTCCCCAAAACAAGATTACAACCAATCCCATATTTGGACGTTATCACTCTTGATCAAGCATAACAATAAAAAGGATGATTATGTGTGATTTTTGATGAATGGAAGATGAAAGTGTATATTTTCAAATTTCCTCTTGTTATAAAAAATGGAGCAAATGATTATTTATATGAGAATGAATGTAAGAAAAGATGACTTTAGAAGCACAAAATGACTTAATTTTGAGTGCAAACAAGCGATGAGTCGACCTATGCAAAGCTATGAGTCGACTCGTAGGTGGCAAAATGCAGCAAATGAAAAACACTACAGTATGAGTTGACCTATACAGAGTTATGAGTCGACTCATAGGTGACAAAATGCTCCAAAAGGAATTTCCTTCAGCATGAGTCGACTTATACTATGAGTGAGTCGCCATATACACATGAAAAATGTCAAAAACAATATTTTTAATAAGAAGTATGATTCTAAATGTCTTATACATGTTTTATGAATGATTTTAAACATTATGAAACATAGATGCATGACTTAGATAGAGTGATATCATCCAAACTGCACAATAACTAAACTTCTTAGTTTTGACATCATTAAAACACAAAGGTATAATGATAGGGAACCTTGCCCTCACAACGGCGACAATGATGTTATTCACGACTTGACTCACCCCGCATAAAACCTCAATCTTCTTCGATTGTGGCTACGAAATTGTACGTCAGCGTGCTATCAATCTTCATAATATGTAGGAAAGTTTTGATTTGCTTGTATGTTGGAAAGTGAGGGGTGTAGATTACATTACCATGAACTAATGTGTGTTGTAAGGTTGTTATTAGTAAAATTTGTATTACCTTTGTATGTTGGAACTTTAAAAGTCACACTATCCAAAGTAGTTGTTGAAACTGAATGATATCTCACATAGATTTATTTTTGTAAAGTTTTTTACTTTTGTTTCAATTGATGTGTTTACTTCTATGCATATTTTAGGTACTATATAATGATTAAACATAACACAATTAATGTATTTTTTAAATAAAAGTTTCTAATAAAATTGAAAATTATATAACTACAACGTAGAGTTTACAGGAATTTACAGTGTAAGTGGAAGAACAAACAACAAGCAAAAATTTATAGAAATTATGCATGCGAAAAGTAAAACATACAGAAATTCTATTGGTTGATAGTTAAAGCTATGTGCTAAGAAACAAATACATGAAAGAGAAATTAGTGTTTGGTGTTCCCAACTTTTTCTGTTACGGGGGTGGTGATGTGAAAATCCAGCTTGATGAATACAAGTGCGTAGAAGCCTGCTTGAGTCACAAATATTTTCTAATAGATAAGTCCCACATTGGTTGATTTACAAATTATACAAGGGTTTATAAATCATAAGCATGCATAAGTATTTGCTTAAGAGTGTTGGATTGACAATGGGCTTGTGTGTGTTTGAAATTGACACAACTAAACTAATTTAAAAAAAAAATAAAAAATAAAAAAATATTATATAATATATAAAAATAGTAAAAATATTTAAAAAATCCACTTGGATTTTAAATAATAAATAAAAGATTAATTAAAAATTCATCTAGACTGCCTATGAGACTCCAAGGTCTTTTTGTCGGACATTTAATAGAATTTCAGACTCAACAAATCTTCTTAGAAACAAATATAATCATTCTTAGATTTTTCTATAAAATCTAACTAACATACTACGGACCGATGCTAGAATACATGTTAGAATTTTAGACTGAACAAATCTTCTTAGAAACAAATATAATCATTCTTAGATTTTTCTATAAAATTTAACTAACATACTACGGACTGATGCTAGAATACATGTTAGAATTTTAGACTGAACAAATCTTCTTAGAAACAAATATAATCATTCTTAAATTTTTCTATAAAATCTAACTAACATACTACGGACTGATGCTAGAATACATGTTAGAGCATTTTGTTCCACATGTTGCTTATACACCATATTATATATATATATATATATATATATATATATATATATATATATATATATATATATATATATATATATATATATATATATATAACGCTATTAAATACATAGAACAACAAAAGTGATGATCATCAATTTGTTAACTTTTCATTTAACTAAAAAAATTTCAAACTAGCACAATCCCACCAAATATTTATCCATAAAGAAGATTCTAGTGCGAAATACCAAAAGATAGAAACACCTTAAAAAGATATGTAATTAGAGTAGTTAAAATATAAGAGATCGACATATTATATTTTCACAATTCTTTTTACCTCTATCCTCGGATACAACCAAGAAAAATATAAAATCTCCCATTTATAATCAATTGTCAATAAATTTACATGCCAGTATTGCTGAACCATAATAAAAGAGTATCGATATCAACCAAACTGACCAATATTAACATTTCACAAATAATTCATATGAATGATTGATTATAATTATCATTTTATTTTTTAGTTTTAAAAAGTAAAATATTAAAAAAAGTAATAAAAAAAGGAAAAAAAAAGTAGTATACATTATAGCAAAAGATGATTTTTGAAAGATGTGTAGAGACAGAGTTCCGGACAGAGAGAGTCCAAACAGCGAAATAGTATTCCGGAATCGAGTGCGAAAATTAGATTATACCTCACTGAATATTTCAAATCCGAAGCTAAAAACTCGTACAGCGTAATCAAAAAGCGAACCCAAAAACCACTCTCACCTACACTACACACACCATACAACTTTTTTTGTTGCAAAAATTACCAAACCAGATTAAAAATTTTCGGATTCATTTCTCAGTAAAATTCCTTCAAATTCATTTTCCTTTTACTTATGCCAGAAGTTTCTTCAACTCGTTGGAATCGGTCACTCTCAATGTGATTTTTCTGCTTCATCACTGAGTTAACTCGCTCACTCGCTCGCTCTATATGGTGTGAGTCCAATTTCAATTTGTTCTCATTTGCTTTGTTTTTAATTCAGTTTGAGTAGTTATTGTCGCATTTCTGAATTGGGGGTTTTGTGATTTTTTGTGTTTGTTGAGAATTTGTGAATTTTTATTTGTTAATTTGTTTTTCTCTGGTTTATAGATAGTGTACTTTTGAGGTGCATGTGGTTGATATTCAATGGAAACAGTGATTGGGATTGAGGATTATGATGATGGGAAGCTTGAAGACAGTGGAGTTGATAGGAGCAGTTCTGCTTTGTCTTCGCCTAAACAGATTTCTAACCCGGTTGTGTACAAACTTGTTCGGGTATGTATTTAATTAGTCACTGATTATGTTAGTCAATGTAATTTAGATTTGGATTTTTAATCTAGTTTTGTGTGCTCCGTGCATGGGGGAAAATTTCTATTTGATGATATCTGTTCATTACTCATTAGGCTTCTTGACAAAATTAAGATAATGGGAGATGTTATGACTCCCTAAGTGTTTTTTTTTCGTTCTCAGTATACCATTGCCCTTTTATGAGTTGTTGAACAGTTATAAGGTATATTTCCAATAACCTAACCTGTGTACTAGACTAAAATTGTAATCATTGAACCCAAAGTGTTCTAATGATATATTCTTTCTGTTTGTTTCTGTTTTTTTTTGTTCGATTACAAAAAATGTTGAAAGCATCCCGTCTAATCTAATAACTAAGAAGCCCAAATAGATGAACTTAATAAATTCATCCACACATTTCAATTAGAATGATTGCTTGTTATTCTAGTAGTATCACTTTTTTGTTTGCCCATTATTCATTTTTTCCTTCCAGAAATGGCCTGCAATCTACTACAAAATAGTAAAATATCTAATAACTTCCAGTCTTCTTTTAGACACCATCGTTGTTGTGCGAGTTCCTCTGCGTAGACTATACATATGGCTACAAACTTATGGTTATTGTTGTGGTTTTGAACTTAATTTATGGTTAAGAACTTAGTTTAGTGTTGTGATTTATAGGTTATTTTCTACATTTAATGATATTTTTGCACGTGAATGATATAATTACATATTTAACTCTTTGTTCCCCATTAGTAGGATCTTACAACCATGTTACGATCCTCGAGTTACAATCTCGCAACACCCTCCAGATCTTGCGCAGACTCTTGATTTTAAAGCATTGTTGTGTTGTTATATTTAAGTGAATTGAATAGCACACCTTTGTAATTTGGTTGAATTATATTTGTGTCTCTAAATTTTCTGTAATAAAATGAAATGTAATTTGGTTACATTATATTTGCATTCCATAATTTTTTGTTTTATGGTTTTGCATTTTTGTTCAGTGATTTGTACTTTTATATAGGGTTTATTCATAATTCTGTGATATGTCTGACATGATGTCTAGGTTGAAGGGGATGGGAGGTTAGTGCCCGCAACAGATGATGAAGTAATGGAGGTGGAGGATTTTCTTGAATATGAAAACAGTGAAATGCGTGTTGTTGCTGATACTGGACAGAGTTTGGAATGCATATCAATCGAAAGATCATCTTCAGGGAAGCTTCGATTGGAGTGCTCGGAAGGTGAATGCTCAATCTTTCAGTTGCAGAAATGGTTACTCGTTAACATATGCTGTACTGGTCACATTAGAGTCACAACTAATTTTTCAAGGGATTTTTTGGCTGCTTACTATATTTTAAGCTCCGAAAAACCAGTGATTTGCGTGTTGTCTGTCTTTCTTTTGGTTATTTCATGACTACAATTTGTGTGTTGGTGAATTGGTTTAGTTGTTTTATGTTATAAACAGCCTCCCTCTCTATTCACGGGCAATTTGTGGTCAATGTTGTCTGTTTGTCAAGCTGTTGAATGCCTGAAGCTTTGTTTCTCACATATAACTTAACATTTCTTGTTGGTGGACACTTGATGTTTGCTTATTTATACGGTTTTGACTGTTGTTAAGTTTTAGGAAATTCCACCCTCTTACTAATATATTTTTCCGCATTTTCTTCCAACTAATACCCAGGCGTTTCACAATTAGGCACTGCAGAGGCAGATTTGGGGAAGCTAAATGCAAAGTTTCAGGTGATTGGCTATTTTTCTTCTTCTTTCATTCAGTCTGCCTTTCTTACGTTTTGATTCTTTTTTGTAGTTTCTTCTGCATTATAAAATTTTAAAATGCATGAACTATGCTCTAGCTCATCATGATTCTTTTGAATGCTTGGAAAAAATTTGTGAAACCAACTGAATGCTTTCTTCTATCAGATGATGTATAATAGAGGAGTCGTATATATGATATTTCCTCTTTAGTAATTTATAAATGTGAATCACCTGAGCCATCGATGAGCATATTGGCAAGGAAAAGTGCTGCTCTCATAAACAGACTGTTTTTAATCTTTTTATGGAAGTGATATATCTGATGTTTAATTCAGTCATAGGGGCTGTTGCACACAAATAAATGGCAAAACTGCATCAGGATCGTTTATCTCTTTTCAATTCAGTCATAGGGGCTGCTGCACACAAATAAATGGCAAAACTGCATCAGGATCCTTTAACTCTTTATGTTTTAAGTTAGTCCTATGTTAGTCTTTTTTGTTTTTAAAAACTTAAACGATGTTGAACCAAACTTCATTTTTTTCTTCTATTTATGTTATCAAAAGTTTTATTTAATCATTAAAAAGGTAAATTACATATTCCATTCATCAAGATAACTTCTAAATTACACCGTATAATGAATTTTACAAGATTTAATCCATCAAAATTAACATGGTCTTTTTCAGTTTTTATCTAAAGCTTGTGACCTCGTTGTTGTCATCGAGGTTCTAATTGTGGTGTTGAGTGGTATAATATTACTTACAGTATATCATTCAATTATCATGTACACAAATTTGTAACAAAGACAGATTAAAAACAAAAGATGGTCCTCACCTGTGTAAATATTTTTTAAGATAAAAGACTTGTTTGAAACTTTAAGTTTAAAGGACCCGTGATGCAATTTCGCCTAAATAAATTTATTTTGAATTTATGCAGTAATCACTTGAACCTTTTGTGTGGTAAAACTAAAATTTTCTTTTCTTTTGAGTTGATGGTGGTCAAAGATGTATTGGCTTCTTAGAAGATGTTACTATTATACTTTTGCAGTCAGGATACATGTATTCTGATTCAGGAAAGATGAGTTCTTGTTGTCTCTTTCACATTTATGAATTTTACAGTGCCATTATGTACTTTAACCATAATGTAATTTTCCTTAATATTCTAATAACTTTTTTCTATAGTTAAGAAAAGAAATGGATGCTAAGTTAGCCTTGTATGTGGAATGTAGTGAGGTTGTAAGAGATAGTTTAAATCAGGGCTGTCCATGTCGGAAAACCAAAATCCGCTATACTTGACGCATTGTGGCGTTGGTATAGCGGATTATGGCAGAAAAGTCCACAATATTGGTTGATATTTACCATTGTGGTGAGCCCAACAACCGTCACGTATATCCGCCAAGCGGATATTTGATAACACTGGTTTAAATGGCAACTTTATACATATTCTAATGATTAACTGGCTAATATTTATCTGATTAAGAGTTATAGTATTAAATACTTTGTGATGCTTTAGTTTGGCAGAACTATGTCAAGTATTTGTTACCGGATATGATACAGGTTATGTATATTGCAGCTTGTACATTTTTGACTAAAGAAAAATATAGTTAAAATAAGTATCAGGGACATGGAACGTATATTTTTTCTTTGTCTAGAGTATATATATATGTGCTGGTTTGGGTTTCAATTTTTTACAAGTCTTTTACATTGGATCCGACCTCACTTAGCGCGATAAGGCTTGGTTGTTGTTTTACATTGGATATTTTTTTATCCTTTACAATATTATATGTAGTTTTATTTGGGAAGTGGTTATTGATCTCATATTTTCTTGATATCATGTTACAAAGCTTTACTTTTCTTGGGTAATGGGTGCATAGTTTTTGGTTTGCATGTCTTCATATCCTGATATTTGTAGAATTTTTTTATCTAGGGTCCTTCTTTACCTCTAAAGTTTCTTGTAGTATATTGAACAGATTCTGCAAAAAGTTAAACAGGAAGAGAAACTTCGCTTGTCGTCTCGATCACCCATTCGTTCTCATGTACAAATAGATAGACAGTGTTCTGCTGATAAATTTCCTGTCATAAATGAGAAGGACCAAGAAGCACCTTCTATAGCATCAAGTTTAAATTATTGTCATAGTAACCAATCTGGGAGTATTGATCAGTGTTCGAGACCTTCAGAAGGAGTGATAGAAAGTGGATCATCTGCTTCTGCTGTCTATTCCCCTTTGAAGCCTGATTTTTCCATGACAGACGGAGAAATATGTTTAGACAAGCTGTCGATAAAAGAACTTCATGAACTGTTTAAAGTCACTTTTGGTCGGGAAACTACTGTGAAAGACAAACAGTGGTTGAAGAGAAGGATTGCTATGAGTTTAACTAACTCTTGTGATGTATCAGCAACAACATTCACTATTAAAGATAACAAAATAAGTAGAAAACGGGAAGAAAAATGTTCTGCAAATGTGAATGCCGCAGCTGTAATCTCTGCGGAAAATATGGCTGGAGAAGGAGATGTCAAGTATGCGGATTCATATGCAGTGGAGGGTTACGCAGTTGATGATATCCAAGTTGCTTCTGAAACAAGACTGGACAATCTTCATACGGAACATGATTTAGGGGATGCGGATCAGCAGAGAGAACAAAGAGCTGCAAAAAGAATGCGTAAGCCCACTAAGCGATATATTGAAGAGCTCTCTGAAAACGAATCTAGAGAGTACAATCCTAGGTCGTCAAGTTCTAATAAAAATACAGGACACAGACATGTTTCTCCAACTTCTTACATCAGGCCTGCTAGGAATGCTTTTCCGGAGGTAAGAACATTTGTCACCAGGTTAGATTCTCTTGGAGGTTCTGGTGTCCAAATTCCATGTGTTTCTCGGGTCCGAAGAAGCCGTCCAAGGAAAAATATCACGTCTCTTATGGTAAGTTATACTTTTTCATGTTCAAATATGCTGTCAAAAACACTTAGTATTATGTTTTAGTCATACCCCCTCAAAGAAGAATGGTTCTGATAGAAACTGGTACCTATAGTGAATGAATTAAAGAAAACAGAAATGACAGAACAATCCTCTGCAGAATTTGTCTAGAACAACAGTTCACATTTTAATACAGAATTAACACACTAGTACATCAAAGAAAGTTTAGAGAGACAATGATAGAACAAATATAAAGCAATTCCTATCCAAGAAATTTAAGAGTCTTGGTCTCTCTCTCCAAGAATTCAAGAGCTTGGTTTCTCCCATCCAAAACCACTCAATAACTATCCATAATCAGTTTCTCCTCTCCTTTCCATGTTTATTCCTAAAATTAAATGATATAACTGCCATTAAAGCTTCTCATAACTGCCATTAGAAGAAGTTTAGCAGGTTCTTGTTCATACATTTGGTTTCATCCTTTGGCCTCTAGTTGTTCTTAAAATTAAGGGATTCATGTAGAGATGGAGGAAAAGAGCAAACTGAAACTGCATAATAGAATATAATTATAATATTTATACTATATGATGTGTTACAAAATACAGAGCACTAACCTGTGTTTATGCTAGTACAGCTCTCCTATTCTTAATCAAATATGGCAGCAAATCATGCCATGTAAAAGCTGTTTTAAGAGATTGGCCAAAATGTTTTAAAACCATTTGATTGCATGTCCATATCTTTCTAGTAGTGCCTTGCTACTCCTGTTGTGTCTTTTGCAGCAGTCTCTTGAATGTTTTGGAAATAACTGATATATATGATAGTCCGGGAAAGTGTTTTTATTTTGTAACAAACAAAAAACATTATAATTTTGTTTCAGAAATTCCATCCAACTGGCATGGTTGAAGCTGCAAAATTAAGCAATAATGCAGTTAGCGATCATGGTTCTGACACTGATAGTGAGATTCAGGAGAAAGTCTCAAAGCCAAGTTCCATGCCTGTGAAGATTCATCAGCCGGTAAGACCAACTAAGTCTCTGCTAGTGATAGAATGTATAAATTGTTGAATGAGATTTGAAGTGCCTGAGTGAAATTACTCTCAGCCTTGTTACTTATAACCAAGTGATTACAATTAAATCTACAAAGAAATCCCTTGATTATAGGGATAAAACCAACAAACCTAATCATAGATATATTTACCTCATGCTATAATGATTTAAAATACATATCTTGACTGCTATTTAAGGCAAAATGGAAGAGCATATGTATGTGTACGTCTTTGAGCAAGAAGTTTATTAAGATAAAGAAGATGATTATCACTACAAAGGCAAAATGAAAGAACATTTATATGATTATAAATAATCTATAACAGTATCTGGGTGGTTATAGTGTTTAATAACTCTTAATCTGTCACAGGAATTGGGAAAAAAACCGCCCTTTGAGAGGTTACGGCATGAATTGATTTGTTAAACTTTTTTGTTTAGGTTATGATGTAAACGGCTTCTAATATGCTGTGTAATTTGCTTGTATATATATATATATCCTTTATTTAACACAAGTTCAATGTGGTGGCTAAGGAAATTGCTATTGCAGTTTGTTAATATCAATATTTTCTAAGCTGGTTATGTTTATCAAATTTTGGTGAAGTTATAATTTCACTCTTTTACCTTGTATGGGTGCTACTTTTTTCCTGTGAGTGCAAGCTGAACCGCTTTGCAGTGTTTCTGATGGTGAATTAATTACGAGGGCTTTGATGCATCTGAGGGAAAATATTTTTGAGTGTACAAATTATGCAGTCCTTCCATGTGTTTGATTGGCGGCACAATACTTGTGCATCATCAAACATATCAATCTGCCTCCTTTAACCTCATTCTAGTTTCTGTTACTTGTAGCTCATAGGTAAAATGAGATTTGACTATATAGCACCATGATTTAATCATATTTTTTTTGGGGTGGTGTCTTTCTCAGTCTACTTCTGAATCTGGAAAAGAGAAGCAGTCTCCGATATTTGGCACAACTGAACCAAGGCAGGAATTGAGACCAAAAAAGATTGATCCACCTAGTCATACTGCAGAGAGCAACACGGTAACTGTTCCCACTGCTAAAGGTGGAATGAGGAGGAAACATCATCGAGCATGGACCCTTGCCGAGGTAACAAAATTGATTGAAGGTGTGTCGCGTTGTGGACCAGGGAGGTGGTCTGAGATCAAACGGCAATCCTTTTCCTCATACTCACATCGAACCTCTGTTGATCTCAAGGTACTCATTAATAAATCCATATCTCGTTGACTTTTGATCATGTTAAACTTACAATGCTAGATTTTGGTCTTTGTACCTGCATACATTTAATACATTTTTTTGCTTTGTAGGACAAGTGGAGGAATTTGCTCAAAGCTAGCTTCGCTCATACACCTGCAGATGAGGGGGTAAGAGTTTATTCAGTTTAATCTCATAGAAGCAGATTAAGTTAGTTTCCAATACAATCTCATGTTAAATTGACCTACCTAAAAGCACGAATGTGATTAAATATTTTAAATTTCGTTAATATGTTATACTTAATTGGTGGATAATTTATTTATTTAGTTTTATACCCCATGTTTTCTATGCATAAATTTCTTTAGTTTCATGTTTTGTGGGTTGTGAATTCATCCAGTTCCTGTTTACTGACATTCCATTCCCTGAATTTGTGTTCAAGTTACTTTCCAAAAATGAAAATTTTCAAATATTTAAAAACTTGTGAATTTATAAGTTCAGTTTTGATGGTTACTTACGTTAGCCTTTTTTGGTGTGTATGATAGATGAATTCACGAAAACATGGTACGGCTCCGATTCCTGAGCATATTTTAGTTCGTGTAAGAGATCTTGCAGCGATGAATTCTCAGGTTCCTCCACATTTCAGCTCAAGCAAGTTAACAACTGGTGCAGCTAGTGTGCATGGAGATAGATTGGGGTACTTGTAGTGTTGTAAATATTACCAAATTATCAGGCTTCAAAAATGAAATAAAAATTAAGTTCTGCACTTCTTTAAACCAATCCTTTTTCAGCATACATGATGAGTGTAGCAATGTTGTAGGCGGTTGAGAGACTAATCAGATGTTTAATGCACTGAAAAAACGTTTAATTCTTGTCTGTTCTTCATTATGGCTGTTTTGGTCGCTATAAATTGTCGTAAAATCAGCTTGGATAAACGAACTGTTAGTGTGTATGGTGGCACAATTGGCTACCGTAATTGTCCCATTTTTGCTATCAAATGATGTCCCGAGGTGGAAGAACAAAGAATACAACGGTGTGATGAGCTTTTGGTTCATAAAGCTCCAACAACACACACAGACAAACCAGGTTTGCAGTGGTGAAACTAAAAAGTAATGAACCACCCACACACCCACATTTACATTCCCAGGAATTAGAGGGAATAAAGATTTGGAGGTTTAAATTTGTGATTCACGGAGCTCATCAATGCCAGCCCACAAGACATTGTGACACAGTCTTGATGTGGTTTTAGGCCTTGAACATGGGGATCCGGTGACTGTTGCATTGGGAAGATGTTTGGTGTTACAAAGTTTGAGAAGGTGTGGTCGGAGTAGGGTTCTGAGGTGGGCTGGTGAAGGTTGGGGAGATGGCTGGTGCTACAAAGTCTGAGGAGAAAGGCGAGGCTGGAGTCGGGGTGTGAGGGTGGAAAAAGAAGAAAAGAAAAGGAAAAACTGGTCCAGGATGTGTCTTATTAGATGTAATGAACTTGCAAAATCCAATGGTTATAATTATAAAGAAATGTGGTATTTTGTGGATCATTTATTGTGAAGTTAGAATATTTTCATTTCTATTAACTAGTATTGAAGATTTTTGAAGTATATACAAAATAATTGAATCTACTAATTTCATATGATTATATTTATTTTTCTAAAATATTAGTAATAGTCATAATGGAGGGGTATCTTATCTTGACCTCATATTTTGATGGCCCACCATAAATAGAGCTCTGCCTTTGTTTGAATTAAAAATGAGTAAATTAAGAGAGATTCTCATCGTACCTCCCATGGAGGGACCAAGATGAGTTGATCTTATTTATTTGACTATGGTAGGCCATCATAAAAGAGGATTTCTTTTAAAGAAATTTCAATACGTTTTTTACACATCATGCAAAAATATATAAATATTTTCAAATTTTGGAGATGAATCTTCAGATGTATCAAAAGACCAGTTATTAAAATATTTTGAAAATGCATTTCTGAAATATTTTGGAGGTTAAATTGCGTCAGACCTTTCTTCTTTCTCATTTCACATTTTCTTCAAAACCATTCTTTGAACTCTCAAAATTTTCTCTGCAACAACTTAAAATTCAATCATCATCTCTAACATCAAAAACAACATTTGAAAAATCAATTTTTCGTAATTTTTTAAATTTTTGATAATTTTTTTAGTTTGTGTAAACGAGTAGAAAACAATGATTAGAGTTAGAAATGAATAGAAATAATATTAAGATAGTTTAAACATAGTGTATTAGATGTTTGTTGGCTGATAATGATGATCAAAATAAGTTTTTTTTTTGAGATTGCATGGGTACATTAATGCAACTTCTGAGTTGTAGAAAATTTCGAAGATGCATCACTGAAATTTTTTACCGTTTTAGTTTTTCAGATTCAAGAGATGCATCTTCAAAATTTTCTGCAATATTTTTTTATTTGCTTGTGTGTTGTTTGCCTGCACTAATGGTCTGCTTTACTTTAACTGAGGCACGAGAGGGTTGCCTAGCACACATCAGTGCGGCGGAAGAAGAGTTAGCAAATTTCGAAGGCTCCTAGTCTCTATAGTCAGGCAGAGCCATCTAGTTTTGAGGTTCGTGCTTCTCCTCATGCCACTCCATCTTCTTCTTCCCGTAGGAGACAAGATTCAGCATCTGACGCATCACTCCATCGATCTTCCCGCATGCGTCAAGTTTCACCAGTGCCACCTTCTATTGTAGATGCTACTGATCCAGTCCCACCACCTCCTATTGCTAATGCTGCTGGTCCAGTGCCACCTCTAGAGGATGAGGCTACCACGGATGCTGAGCCAAAGGAATTTGGAGGAGGCCTAGTTGATTTGTCATTACTGCCTGCCTATGTATCCAGACCATATTTCTAGACATATACGGGCGGAGTAGGTGACACTCCACAGATCACATGCATTGAGAGCATATCTGCTTTATTTGGTTGACACTGCGATTTTTGTGGACATGAGTGCCACTTATATAGATGTTGTCTACATATTGTACTTCTTGAATTTCGAGCGGATCCATGAGTACAACTGGGGGGCGGTTTGTTTGGTCTACCTGTATTTGTAGTTAAGATAGTGTTGTATGTGGAAGACGAAGCAGGTCACAAGCATCGTTACACTATCGACGATAATAATTATTGGTCTTTTAATATTTTTTTTGTCATTTTCATTTCATCTTTGCAAAGTCATTACTGATGATTTATGTGTTCTAAACTTTTCATTTCAGGCTTAGATCGTCCAACACTTCCCGCGCATCTTTATATGGACGAGTGTACCATCTTACACTAAGGATATGTCGTGTGTTACTGCTTTTATCCCGCTCAAAGGGACCCATGCAAATGAGTCTTATAAAGTCTATCTTGATCGTTTGGTTGCTGAGAAATGCACTTCAACAACTATGTTGATAACCGTGAGACTGTTCGAGTTGATACTAAAGGGGGTTTTTGAAAATCGTCTCCATATGGATTATAGTGATATCGCTTGTCGTTCTGTAGTTTATGATGCTTTAAAAAGGGTTTTCAAAGTTTGTTTGTTTTGGATCATAAGTTTGTCATAAGTTTAGTAGCAAAGATTAAATTCTAAAAGATGTTTGTTTAACAAGACATATCAAAGATATGTTTCATCAACCTAACTTGTATATGTTTGATTAACCAAGCATGTGAATTCGTTTCCGATTAATATAATCATGTATCCTCTCAATACCGTCTATGTCTAGAACGGTGTCGTGAATATTATTGTATCCGTCATTAGATGATGTCTTATGCTACCAACAAATACAATAATCTTTAAGACCAACATAAAACAAATATCAACTCACAAATCTATGTCTAGAGTTTGTTTATTGATAGATGGATATTTTAGATCAAGGTTCGTAAAATCTATGTTTAGAGTAATACAAATTATAAATAGATCTTTAAAAACAAAAACAATCAACATATATTAATCATCCACTTGTTCACATACAAATAGATCAAAATAAATACATACAAGCTAAGATAGACGACATCTAACTTTGATAGCTTGCTTCACAAGTAAATGTAGAAGATGAATTAACATCCAAGATGAAGAATCAATCTAGGATGTGAATCCACTTCTACTTGTAAAATATCACTCCTTGGTGAAGAAATGATGAACTTAGGGTTTTTTTTCTCCTAAGTCAATGTTACTCTCTCAGAAAAATTAAGTTATGAGGTTATGATCCCCAAAAAAGTAATAAAAAGTACATAAATATCTAAACAAAATATGTCTCGCTCGCACTGCGAACTTCACTTATAGGCACATGAAGTGCATATGAACAGTTAAACTGCCCTCGAGGGGTTTAGCTGCTGCCATCCAAATTCTCCAGCTCGCTTTGGCCTCGATTTGAGCTCGCCTACACTTTGCTTCTGCCTCACACTGCGAACTTGCTGGATTCTTCCTCATTTCATTGGCTTCCTTGTCCATTCATTTGTGTCTTGTTATTTGACAATCGAGCCTAATTCCTACACAATAGCACAAATATAAAGGAATCCAAAGGTAAAATCAATTACATTGAATAATCACAAGAGAACGTGGAATAAATCAATTAAAACATAAGAAATGAGTTAAAAATACCAAGAATAATGGTTCACATTAAGACATATTTGACATTAAACAAACTCTTTCGAACTATATTTTTGCTTGTCCTCAAGCAAAGTATGCCCCTCATGAAAACAAGAGGATTTGCTCAAGCATAGATTCAACCAAAAAATATTTATGGTTCAAATTCAACATAAGAATGCACATAAGCATTGATCACAACTTCCTAGAATCAAACAATGATAAAGAATTTAGTTCTTAAACAAATATCATGCAATGTTTCACAAAACAACTAAATTCTCAACTTGAATTACTCTAATACTCTTCTTCAATTAATGGATGAAGGAAATTGTGCATTTGCAACCGCGGAACAATTACACAACTAAATAAAAATGCTAACACAATCCAATTCATACGTTCATCATTCAATCAAATAAGAAATTATGGAAACAAAAGATCACTAAGGACTTTTAAGGTTGTAGCTTGGCCAGATTCACAACAAAAGGTTATTTCAAAAGGCTATTGAATCAAAGTTTCCAATCAAAAGATACATTTACTATACAAGGTATTTACACATTACAACTTCATTCACCAATTCATTTTCTCCATTGCTCATCCTTTTCAAACCTCCTTTTGCATAATTATTTGAATTCTCTATTTTTTTTCTTTCAAACAAGCATGCTTTTTCTTTTCTTTTTTACATTCATATTCACAATTTCTTTTACTTGTTTGAAATTTTTTAAAATTTTGAGCAACCTAGCACTTTTCTTTCATTCTCCCCAACATGAATACCATCAAACCTCAAGTGAATGCTCCTTAATTTTTAGGGCAAGAAAATCAACTTAGAACAAAGTTCAAAGGCTTCAAGAATTTTTTTTAAATCCCACAAAATTCATTGATGAACTAAACTTTCAAATTATGTACATAAACCAAGTTCATCACTAAAATGGGATCTAATCTATTAGCCTCAAAGGGGTTAACGAATTCTCACTATTCACGGGTAAGTTACTTTTGGATATGGTTGTGCTCAATATAAACAAATGTCTTGATCCTTTCTAATGCTTCTATAAAATTACAATAATCAAAAGATTAAGCATGAATCGAACGAATTAAATAAAGTTATCACTTATCCAAGCATTTAGTAAACAAT